ATATAATACAAATAAACAACTCCATAAACACACTTTTGCTGTTATTTGTGTTACTGCTGGTGATGTTAAATAACATGATTGATTTCCTCTGTCTCAATGATGAAAGTTATAATAATAGAAGACATGAAGCTGCAGAGAGAGCATGGATATATTCTTACCTCTACTTTGTGATAAGATGAAAATACAATATTAAATTGTAATTGTTAAACACATTGTTTATTTCATTTACTGAGGTTTTAACCATTATTTACAACATGTGTACATAAGCAGTGGAATAATAGGGTATCTCTAGGTCATTAAACTGTCTTCAGTTTAATTTGATCAATACAAGAAATAGGTCATAGAAAATGTTTAATTGTGTATTTCAGCAGAGCGGGGAGGGGGGGGGCACGGTGCTGCTAGACCTGGAGGTGCTGACCTGGGGTCAGTGGGACATCATCTGGGCAGGTTTAGGGGAAGAAGGAGAATATAAACTGTTATAATCACAGCTATTAAGATTAGAACACTAATATTGTTAACAATCAATCTATACAACATGCTTTTGTTCATTTAAAAAACATATTGTTTTATTAGTACAGAAAAATTAAGACTTATTTTAAATATATGAAATAATATGATTAAATTACATCAGCTATATATAATTTACTTGTTAACTTACTAATGTAACATTACTGGGGCTAAAAGCACAGCTTCATCTTATTTACCTGGCCATGGTTCTCTTTATTTAATCTCCGACGGTGATCTCCAAAAAATGTAAAAGTAAAGTTTCTGGATCCTTTTCAGCTAATTTGCTAGCAGGCTGCTGGAGCAACGCAACCGAACAGCGCGTATCACGTAACGTAAATACGAAGCACTCCGTAGGCTAGACCGTCTCATTTCATAGGCCGCTCGGTCCAGCCTACGCGGTCTCGTCGGCCGCATCCTGCGTCGACCGCGTAGGCTACGTACCTCGAAGGATACAACCCCTGAATTGAGACACGGCCACAGACAGTGGAACAGGACATGCAGAGCGCTGTTTGCAGTCTATGGACATAGCGGATCATTTTGACTCGTTGCGTTGTGGCGATGTCTCGCAGATAACACAGATAATACAGATAATACAGATAATACATATGAAAAGTATAATTTGCTCAGAGTCCAGAGACAGTTGTGGTTCGGTCCGGATCCGGACCAGAGTCCGGACTTTGAGGATGCCTGACTTAGTTTATACTGTAAATATGGAAAACATAACATATGAAACATTTTCATTCTGAGTTATACAAGATTATAATTGATTATACTTGATTATAATTAACTTTAGTTTTAAGTATTCAACATACTATGAAGATCTCAACGCCCTCTTTTTAAAACGCAAAGTTATCAAAACAGCAACAGATAAAATCGTAAACATACATACATATTCAAAAACCATCAAAAACCATTTTCATTATGGGTTTATACAAGAATATGATTGATCATATTTGATTTATAATTAACTTTCGTTTTAAGTATTCACTTGATACTATGAACACCCACTTTTCAAAACGCAAAGTTATCAAAACAGCCATACAGATAAAATCGTAAAAATACATACATATTACATCCGTAAAACTCCAAGCATCAATATCATGAAAAGTTCTTCAGTATGTGTAATAAGGACGACCTTTGATGAACCTGGTGTGGAGAACACCGAAAACATAGTACCTCACTGGAATGTTCTCGTTATCACATAGGTCAGGCACAAGAGTAAAAAGAGGCTGTCATGATGATCATAGATTTGTGTGCGCACCCCCACTCTGCCTGGTACTTGCAGGAGCGGGGGGCCCATCAGTGTAGACTCCTAAATCCATGTTGCTATCTGATGTAAATCGGAGAGGCTCCATCTGTCGGTGTGTGTAGATTCACTTGGTTGACTTTGTGAGAAGGTCAATGAGGCCCCACACAATGATAGCACAAACGAGGAACCAGAGGCATGTGAAACAGCTTAGCTGGCACTCGCTCGTGACACCCTGTGTGTGCAGTGTGAGATTAGGTGTATGTGGTGCGAAGGTGGTGCTGGTGGTGACCTGGCACGTCACTTGTTGTCGTCTGTTTCTACCGTCTCTCCTGGGCTGTGACTACGACTTTGCAGTGGCTGGCGTGGACCCACGTGGCTCTCTCGGCGACCTTGACCGCTGTCTGGGTGACGAAAAGCACCTTGCCAACGGTTGGATTTCCAGCTCTTTCTCCGGAAGTCCTTGACCATTACGAAGTCGCCGGGTTGGAGATGGTGAAGTGGACCAGTGGCAGGGGTAGGTAGGGCTGCTGCTACCTGGCGTCTGATATCTGACCATGCAGTTATCAGGTAGTTTAGGGAAATCCACTGCGATCTGAGTGGCTCAGCGGATAGAGATGCAGCCTGTCCCACCTAGCTGGAAGAAGCTTCATCCTCCACTGGCAGGGGTACAGGTGACTCAGCCGCTGATCCATGCTGCACAGGTTTCCTGGGTCCAGAAGTTGGCTTCCCTGGAGACACAGTGACTGAAGTTGTCCCGCTAGGCAGGTTCAAATCCTCTTGGTAGATTGCTGAGGTATAAATCTCAACAATATAGCTAAGATCAAGTATAAATTATTTCTCTGATTCATAAAGAGTTGTTTCAGTTAAAAAACTTCCCCAAGGGTTTTCTCAAGGGGGTTATGTATTCCATATTGCTCTGGAATTTCTATAGACAGCAAGGTGATTGTTTCTCCTCTTAATCAGTTGGCCTCTAACGGCAGAAAGCACTGGGCCATAATTTACTCTTATCAGTTTAACGACCTGACAGCCCTACACCTCCATGCTGTGTGAAAACCAGCAAAAAAGAAGGAGGAAGATGTGCTCAAAAAATTAAATGAATACTGTTGTAGGGTGTAGGCATATAAGAATTACAAATAACTGAAGAGAAAAACTAATAATTAAAAATTAAAAACAAATGAGAAAAATAATATAAAGGTTATTTTACCATTTCCTCTTTGATACTGAGGTATTCTGCATTCAAGCTCTAATGATCCATATGCTAATAGACAGAGTTTTGTCTTGCCATCTTTCTTTGCATAATTCACTAAAGATTCTAACAGTTATAATACTAAATCGTCTGCAATTGAAATATTGCTTGTTACTCAGATTTAAATTCCCTCTTTTGCTCTGTAAAATATCCCTTGGTACAGAATTTACCAAGACAAATTCTAAATTATTGCGGGAAGATCCCACAAAAAGCCATCCTCTCCTGTGGAAGAAAGCACATTAACTGACACGTGTGTGTGCAAAACATGTCATCAGATGTGAGACTGATCTCATCAACAGTGGATGGGTAGGCTGTAGTCATATTGCTATCTGGATCTTAATCTTAGTTGACTCGGGTGAACTGGCCCTCTCTTCTGGAGTGAAACTACGTTCCCAGAGATTGACGACACTGTATCCAAACCTTCTAATTTAGTTTTAAGCTCACCTCTTTCTGGACTTTGCCCCTTTCTAGTCACCCATATACGATTTCTGAATTTAAATGGAAAAAGTGTGATAGTTAGATATGACCTGACCTTTGCCCTAGGTAGCTTTTCCATACATATAGGAATATATTCAGCCTTGTCAAATTGATTGGAATGTCCCAATTTGTTTTACAGTTTTTATACTCCACTCTTTGGCTGCTCTAATGCCTGATACTTATATGGTAAAGACCAGATAGGTGTGATTCTATTTATCCTGCAAGAGTGACAAAACTTTCTCATTTTTAAAGTGAGTTGCATTATCCATTCTTATTCTCTCAGTTTTAGGAAAAATACTTATATGTTCCGCCATTTTAGCAGACACTGTGTTCCAGTTGCTCTGGTCAGAGGATAAACATGATTATGACTCCCTCCATTATCAAAGGTCACAAGGAAATACTTGTTCCCACTGGGAGTGCGGGTCAGAAAAAGACCTGCTATGTCAGCACTAAAACTGATTAGTGGTTATTCCTCTATTATTTTAAGATGTTCAGGATAAACTTTCTTGAACCCATCCAGCTCATACACATTGAAGACATGTTGATCTGTGTGTGTTGTAGGTGCAATCGCAGTTTCGGTATGAGGATTTTATTGTTGAGACAATATTTTCTCATCCGAAATAGGCCCACATGGCCTAAACTGCTGTGTAATTCATGCAAACCTGAGGAGCTTCTTCAGGGGGTACGTGAATGCTTCCACCCTTTTTCCATATACTAGGACATATGGCAGTCAGGTGGTTAACTCTTCCCCTGCTTTGAGCAAGCACATTAACTTCTCTATTACCCTGATAGTCGAATTCGATCTTATCTGTATGGCTACGGACATGATTCCACTCTAGGTACATGCCTGCCTTTAACTCTGCAATAAGACCCTCACTAGATGGGCATGTGTCAGCGTGTGTCAAACCTTTCACATTTATGAACTGCCTTTGTTCCCAATTATTAAGCTCTTCTTTACCCGCTTTGTAACAATAATCACTATCAGTAACAATACGGATGTGTGTTATTTTACCTTTTTTAGCAAAAAGAGGTCCCACAATGGCATTTGCCTCAGCAGTTTGTGCTGTACCTGGTATTGCACCCTTTTGCTTGCAAATTAGTTTTCATTATAAAGGCCCAAGTGGCTGCTTGGTCACCTTTTCGCAAACTCCCATCTATAAACAGTGTTATCTTTGGAGCAGCGGTTTTCTGTAAAGGTTTCATTGTTTCCATTTGTGTCTTACTTCTTGAGGTCCTCTACACTCCACATCTGGATCAGACATCATCATTTTCCATTTTCCCCATCTACTCATCATTGCTTTTGCTCCCTGAACAGTTTGTTTAGTAGCTTCAGATATTGAAAAATAAAGAGTGTATATGCACATGTTGGTACCTTGAGACATTTCCCTCAGGGCTGGATAAAATCTGAATGCAAGTGGAAGATGCTTCTCTTCAGGAGAGAATTTTTCCTCTGTTCTTGGGCAAGTCATGGACATGAACAGCACAGATTTGTTATCACCCTGGTTCCTTATCTCCACACCTCCTCCTAAATCATTCGTGGCTAGATGAACTTCCCAAGCTTTCTCCATATCTCGCATTGTTAGTTTCTGAGAATGGGTCACAATATACTCTTTTGTTTTTTGATATTGATCTTTTTGTTCTGGTGTTAAGATAATTTTTTTGAATCTCCCTCTTTTCTTAACAACTGGAGCTATGGCTATTTGAAATCTGACTTGGTTAAGAGTTGATTTGTTCATTGGTGAGAGGAACTCTTCCCCTTGTACTGGGGTGGGGGTGGGTAGCCTGCTTTGGGAGAGTTCCTTACAGTCTCCAGATCTTCCTCTCTGTGCTGAGGCCATAACACTTTTAATGGGTCGCTCTGTGGTCTGCTCTGATTTTCTTCCTCTCCAGAGGTCACGCCTGTCTCTGACCCTGTGTGCTGAGTTTTTCTGCAGCACCTCAGGAGCAGAGAAAGGAGGAGATATTTTCCAAAAGTGTAAGCTGCTTCATAAGCAAAATGGCACCACATTTAACTCTCCCTGACTTGTCTTTAAAGCGTTCTTTAAGGCCTGAATTGAGTCTTCTGTTGTGTAACGGAAAATCCCATTTCCAAAAAGGGGTCAAGAGCAAATAGTTTAGTTGATTTTGGTAAAGTATTTGAGCTTTAGCTTCGCAAAAAACTTCCTCATATTGGTTTTGAAGATATTGTTGGGGTTTGATATCTGCTGATAGTTCACACATAGGTTTTTTTTTTTTAAAGTACATGCAAACCGGTATTTGTGGCTCATCTGATCACCACATTGCCTTCTGACAGTTTAATAGTCCTTATCATATTATCACTCTGTGCTTGCATGCTAGGACCTATTCTCTCTGCCAGAGCTACTGCTATTCCTCCTGCATGTTTTAGCTTCCTATTAGCAGGGTTCACTAACATGGTTTGTTGATCCAGTTTAAGATATTCAATATCTGCCATTATTATTTCCAACATTTCTTTCCCTGAATATCATGTCTAACAATGTGTTTTCTTCTAGGAGTAGTAGATGGGATACTCATAAATGTCATCTGTGAGCTTTTATCCCTGTAAGGTGGAGGTACAGTAGGGTCTCAGACATTATACCACCTGCTTGTCTTCATAAAAAGACCGGTGATAATAAAAAGCACATTCAACTTTTCATTCACCAAATCAATTCACATCAATTCCATACCTTTTTTCCGACACAGGTGGCGGGTACTAACATTCACAAACCCATACCTATCTCCCGCAGGTATTCGGGGGAAGATCCTCACAGGTGGCGGTTTCTAATAACTCACAAACACACTCCTATCTGACACAGATGGCGGGTACTAACTAGGGCTGCCAGAAACTGACCATGATCAAAATCGATTATTCGGCAGCCCTGGCGAATAATATTCGAATATTCGAATAATCACTGGCATCCCTAGTACTAATATCCACAAACACATATATCTCCCGCAGGTATTCGGAGGAAGATCCTCACAGGTGGCGGTTACTAATACTCACAAACACACTTCAATTAATTCCACTCATTCAACAAAGTAATTCACTCAGCATTCAATCAAGAAATTTGAGATATTTACATCATGGGAGAAAAGACTTGCACTACTTGGTACCAGTGGAGTGGAGGTCCCCCTCTATAGATCCTGAGACTCTGAGTTGTGTTTGTGGGATGGAGTGTAGTGGGGGGGAGGAAGCGCTGGATGTAGTATTAGAGTTGGTTCAGACCCTGACTAAAACACCTTTACTCTGGTCGAACAGGGATAGAGTGTTGCATGTTGTTATTTTTTTCATAGAGGGCTACATAAATAACATTTCATACAATTCAGAAGAAAATAATAATACATGGAAATAAAATGTGCAACGATGCGATGTAGAGGAGGAGATATATGAGGAGGAATAGGTGAATGGAGGACGTACAGGAGACCCTCATAACGAGATGAAGTGGTAATGTGAAGAGAAGGAAAGCTAACTGAATAAAGATAGTTACACCACGTGATGTCTTCTCATGTTCCCGATGGAACCTGTGTGAGCGTGACTTCACTCCAATATATCATAAGGCTGGTATAATGCACTGAAAGAAAGGGGGGTTCAATTACATTTAAGAGAGATTATATTTAACCCCTTCTGATCAAATTTGATTGATGGTGACCTCAAAGCCTCAAGCAGCAGCCGTGTGGGGTTATATCTTTCTTTTCACCATGTGGTCACAGGGGAAACTTTGTTGAATCTGATGTCTTTAAAGGATCTCCAAACAGCCATTATACTAGAAAGAGGATTGCATAAACCGACAGGTGAAACACGAGGTGTCACTACAAACACAAAACGAAGTTCAATCATCACCAGGATTGGATAGCAATGGGCTATATGTAATGGGATAACGTAGTCAGGAGAAAAAAAAGGTAACTGTGTTCCCTCACAATAACTAAGACATAATCAGATTGTTGCTACAAAAAGCACATATAGTGTTACAACAGTTTGACCTCCATCTTTTAGTTAACAGTTTGACCTCCATCTGAACCTAAAACAGAGCCAGAGCAAAGGTCATTTGTATAAGTTGTTACCTTGTACCACCTAGTACAATAAGGTATGGACTAGGGCTGAACGATTAATCCATTTTAAATCGAAATCGCGATTTGAAATGATGCAATTATCAAATCGCAAAGCCTGTGATTTAAAAAAACAAACATGTACCAGTCATTGTTAACCAATCAGAAGTGGCCCATGATAGTAGGTGATAGACAAATTGATCCAATCACCTGCCAAGTATTTTTGAAATACTTTTCCAAATGGCTTCCAACGGAGATTTCCTAGATGGTTTGGTGAAACAAAGCATCGGAGTCAGGTTAGTACTGCTCCATCACATGTTTCTATTACAGGGTGAATCTTAAACTGAATCTTGACTTTAAAGCAACCCAACGGAAGTTTCATGTAAGTTTAGTTCTTTCACTCGTAGCTCGGGCTGCGGGGGTGCTAGAGACGGGAGCACGTTGATACGACCTTCCTAGCCGTAGATATGGCCGCATTTTACAATAAACTTCCGTTGGGTCGCTTAAAAACATATATCGCAAAATGAATCGCAATCTGTCAGAAAAATCGCAATTCGATTATTTCCCCAAATCGTGCAGCCCTAGTATGGACTAAGGCTCATGGGAGTGTTTTTTTTTTTATACTTACAAAAAAAAGGAAAAAAAAGTCGTCTTGATGTAGCACCTTGGATGCGTCACTACAACACTGTCAGATTTACTGTAAACACGTATGTTTATCTACTGTTTACAACTGTGCTAAGCAGTTACCATTTACCATGTGTACATGTGTCATTTAATTCTACGCACAGTAGGATGACATGTTGTCTGTTTCCACTGGGGATATTAAATGGTGGTGTCATTAAACCTGGGAATTTCTGAGAACAAGATAAAACACGAGCACACAACTTTTGAACCCATTTAACACAAGTAACGTATAAATAATATCTGGTAATATGGTATATCATAGTCAGCTGGATATTTACATTTTCTTTCACCAACATCCAGGCCGCTACAGATTATTTCATAAATAAATGAACACGATATAATGTATTTGATGTTGTATAAATTGGCACATTTCTATGTGTTATTGCATTGATGTCTTTCAAATCAATCCACACTTTACCTGAATGCAGGGCGAATAGTGAAACAATTATTTTACCATAAGCAAAGACACAAAACATCTGAAAAGTATATAATAGGGGTGTAACGGTTCACAGAAGTCACGGTTCGGTTCATACCTCGGTTTGGGGGTCACGGTTCGGTACGGTTCGGTACAAGAAAAAGCAAAAAAAAAGTCCCAAATGCATAATTACAGGTTTGTTGTTATTTATGTTTGAACAGTAGTGCAAGTTTCAGTTTAAAAATAAGGAACTCTGACATTTTGAATAATTAACTGTATTAAACAGTTAAAAACAAACCATACACACTCAGATGGCCATATTATCTATAATGGCTGATGTCAAACGAAAAGGTCATCAAGCAGTAAAACCAAAAAGAATGTCTTGAAAATATTACATCATAAATAATAAGAACATGTTTCAAGAGCACAAAGTCGTTGAAAAACATATGCCAAAAGCTTCCGTTATTTATTTTGGTCTCTCGGCTCTCATGTCTCTTGGCTTCTAAAAAACAGCGGGGCTCAGCTGTTGAACTGCTGTTATCTTTTGCTGGGCTCCAGGTGATTGGCAAATCTGGGTGATGCCTTCGGATATGATTTAGCATGTTTGGCGTGTGTCCATTAGCATACCACACCGCTGTCTAACAACGCCGACACACCGTCCTCGTCCGATCCACCACTCCCACACTTCATCGTTATTGTAGTCCACAGGGAACCCGAAATGTTCCCACACAGCTGATTTAACAGAAGCAGGTGGGTTCTAGCTCCTCTGTGTTATCTGAAATCGCCATACTAACTTTTCTTCTTCTTGTATTTTGTTCGTTTTGTTGTTGTGTTTCTTCTTGTTCTTCATTTGTTGTTTAAGGGCGGCTGGCAAACAGCTTTTAGGCGCAATACCGCCCCCTGGATTATATATAGTGTAGTGTATACTGCCCTGAATGACAGACTTTTTTCCTACTCGTAAAAAAAAGGCGTATTCGTCGTGTGACTGCGTGTGCCGAACCGTGACGTCCGAACCGTGGCGGTACGGGACGAATACGGATACCGTTACACCCCTAGTATATAAGACATAAAACTCTTTGTTTTGTCACTTGTTTTGTCACTTCTTAAGAATGAAGAAATAGTAATATGTCTCTGCATGTGTGCATAGCCGCGGGAAGTAGGGGTGCACCCCCTAGAATCTGGAGAATCAGATTAACCGGTCGTCAAGGGCCGTTGGCGGCCGGCTCGGTTCGCTCGCAGCCGGCACCGCCCTTAATGTGTTTTCAAACGGCATCATTGAAGTTGCACTGACAGGCGACAGAGGTCCAACCGTGTCCCCGCAGCGAGGCTACCCCCCCCCGTTGACAGTTCACTAGCACCAGGGCCGCCCCTCCCTACACGCAGATCACGCAGACTGCGTGGGTCCTCACCTCGCGGATGGGGCCTCAACTAAGCCGTAAATGCGGCGCAATTAGTGTAGGCACAGCACAGTTTCGCCGTTGACAATTCACGAGCATCCCCCCCCCCCCCCCCGTTGACAATTCGCCGCACCCCCTAAGTAAAATGACTTCCTGCGGCTATGTATGTGTGAATAAAATAACACTAGCATTACTCAGGGATCATCCCAGGCCCGCAGTCTGTGGCAGACTGCTGGTGTGTCCTCAGGTTGCAGATCCAGGCGAACCTCTTCCCACACTGCTGGCAGCTGAAGGGTTTCTCCCCGGTGTGAACCCTCTGGTGCTTCTTCAGGTTCCCGGCCTCGGAGAAGAGTTTCCCGCAGGTGTCGCAGCGGTACGGTTTCTCCCCTGTGTGGACTCTCTCGTGGGCCTCCAAGTTGGATAGGCCTGTGAACGACTTCCCGCAGGCTCTGCATACGTAGCCCTTCTTGCGGTGCTCACTGGGCACCATACCAGGAGATTGGCTTATATCGCGGTGAGCCATTAGGCTGACTCCATGCTCTGCAGCGCCGGGGACCTCGTTTCTGCCCAACAACGTCCTGATGTATGGAGCCACTGTGGAGCTCATAGTCCTACTGGTGGAGCTGATACAGGAGATCTTTGTGTTCTCCCCACAGTGAGTGTTACTGACAGCAGCTGTGGTCTGTGCAGAGGGCAGGCTGTGCTGCTGCTGAGGGACCCTGCTACTGTCACCATGCTGCTTCAGCTCACACTGGGTTCCTCTTATCAGGACTGCTTTCCTGCTCCATGGAGGCTGGGACAACGGAGCCTTCATCCTCAGGGGTGTGGATGAAGAAGTCTCTGCTGACGGGCCTGGGAGCAGAAACAACAAGGAGTCAGACACATTCATTTAATATTTTCATCTAAATTACTGAAACATGACAAAAGATGTCTCTGTGCACAGGATCTACTTCCTCAGTGAAGAATATGGTTATGGTTTTGTCCCTGTGAAAATGTGTAAAATAGGAATCCTCATGGCAAGTATTCACCTAGTGCGTCTCACAGAACACATACTATGATTTCCTCAAATGTATACATCCATAAAGATTTCAATGGATGTATGTGATTCACAGCAGAAAATGCCATTTCTTCTTTTTGCCACATGCAAAGTGACCCAGGGTTGAAGGAATTATTTGTAGTGGCCAAACAATGGTACTACAATTTCTGGGTCATGTGATGTCAATGGGTCCAAAAATACTTTTTCCCATTGACCAGAACAAACACTTGAATAGCCCCTATTTAAATCATTATGTCCTACAATGTATGAAGTACATGAAAAGCTGTATCCATAGTTATTTTTCCTCTTCATTCATTTGACTGAACTGAGAGCAGACAGGATGAAGCAGATTGGATGCAGGGCTAAAGGGAAAATGTAGTGTGCATGATCTACGGGTCCAGATACGGGTACTTCTGCTCTCAAGGCAGCAATTCAGTTCTCTTTATACATGCATGTTTGGCCAATACGATCATTTGCTACAATGACCGACACTGGGGGATTGCTGTGAAGCTGAAGATTGATTGATAACGTAACCCCAAAACGCTAACCAATCAAACTACTCTGATTGGTTAGCTAGGTTGTTGTGATTGGTCAACAGCTTAGAGATGTCCCACCCCTTAGCCTTTCACATACAATGTGTTGGAGCGCTAGCCAATAGAAGTGCGAGTGTTACTAAGTGATATCATTATGTAACAGAAGTAAACACATGAGAGCAATGGAGGCATTTCGGAGAGGGGGGGAGGGATGTGTGGGAGAGTATCCCTCTGGAGGGAACAGGGAGTTTAGCCTCAGACCATTTACATGCACAACAACCTCTATAAAAACTCTAAGAAAGGGACAATTCTGAAAAGCATGATAGGGTCTCTTTCACATTACAGCATGTAAACATGTTCTAGTATTAAAAATTGAAAAAAACAAATAAACCTGAAAAGTTGTCTGTAAAGATTAAAGCAGTCTCACCATGTGACACAGACGGCTGGATGTGATTGGAGGAGGAACTCTGCCACACACCCATCCTCGCTGCTGAGGGGGCGGAGCCTGGTGCTACCACAGGTGGAGGCTGTGTTTCACTCTCTACTATGATAACTGCATCCTGGTCACACTCTGCTGATTCATCAGCAGGGAGAGGAAATGAAGGGCCCCTGCTGACTAAGTCACTGTCGGGGGCCCAGCGGGTGAAGAAGGTCTCCAGCTCAAACAGAGAGTACTCAGAGCTGAGGGGGGTGCTGGTGCTGGTGCTGGACCTCTGCTGTCGTTGTGCTCTGGAGCTAGCTGCTGAGATGGTGTCTGGTACCCTCAGCTGGACCGCCGCCACACTGCAGGGGTCCGCCGATGACTGAGGGGCTGCAGACTGGGGAGGAGGGAGAGAGGTGCGTTAGGATGTACATCGTACTAAGGTACAGGACTGGATGGAGATCCAAACACTTAGTTGGACATTTTAGGAAATATGCTTCCAGTGTCCCGGCGCCAGGCAGCAGTCGGGGGTTTGGAGCCATGCTCAAGCGCCAACAGTCCACATTGTATTTGGACCAATCGTACTTGAACCGGCGACCCTTCTGTTCCCAAGTCCCTACAGACTGAGCTACTGTCCCCCCCACAACAAATATACCTACAAAAACGTGCAGATTAAACTAATGAGCAAGTATTTTTGTTTAATGCCTCTCTCTTTTAACTATTCATATCTTAGACTGCACTGTAACTTTTATCCATGTACTTTTTCTTTTAATGTTTAATTGAACTATTTATATCTTAGACTGCACTGTAACTTTTATCCATGTATTTTTTCTTTTAATGTTTATTTTATTAGCTTTTCTTTTTAATGACTGATTTTAAATGCCATTTTCTTAATGTCTTTCATTTTTTTGTAAAGCACTTTGAATTGCCTTGTGTTGAAAAGTGCTATATAAATAAACTTGCCTTGCCTTGCCTGCCTTGCAATACACAGTATGAAGTGTTAAAATGACAAGTTGTGTTGTTGGCAGTTTCATGCTAAACTTAAGTCTTCCGAGGTATATAATATAGAGATAAGCAACTGGAGTTATTTGTTCACACTCTATTGCGTTTTATTTGTGTGTAGCGTGAAATTATTTTGTATTCACTATGTATTGCATAATGACAAATCAATTGAATTTGTAATTATAAAATGCTGCTTTAGATGTGTGTGACAGAATCCGACTAGCTGAACTAAGTCTAACCCCCCCTTCAACTCTTGGGCTCATCACTGGTCAGGTTTATATATAAATAATATACTGTTTTGGAAAACTGTTAACTCTGTTATTGTTGTGCACATAAGAATAGCATGTGCTTTAGAAATGTGATCTAATCCAACTTTACATGGAGGCAAATATAGTTTTACATATGGATAATAAGAATATTATAATATTGTGTCACAATTTTGTAATGTATGATTAAAAAAAAACAAAATACGCATCTTGAGTTTTTCTTAAGTTTTAATGTTTACATTGCAAATGGTCAACATTAGGCAGCATTGAACATAATTGTGACACAATAGAAAGTTAATGTTACATTTACAGTAAATGTTTATGCTATCATGGCTTCGGTTGACATAAAAAATCACATTTTACACATACAAAAATATGTTCATTTTTGTAGATAAAGAGAGCTGGTGTATTATTAGGAAAAACTGAAGGCATTTAAAAAATAATTACATGATCAAATACAAATATTAAAAATAATAATTATAATATAACAATCAAAATGCACACAGGATAACTGATTGAATTTGAAACACACACACACCACACACACACACACACACACACACACACACACACACACACACACACACACACACACACACACACACCACACACACACACACACACACACACACACACACACACACACACACACACACCACACACACACACACAAAATCAAACCTAATTTCCCATGTTTACAAGATAACTCACTCTATCATACAGGGTGATTTCCCCCCAACTTACTGCTCTGACATATCTTTCAAATACCATTTTAACCTCTAGTTACTGTCAATGGCTTTTACGTTGGCGGGGTTTTTTGTATTGCTGTTGAGCATATCAATACAACCGTAACTGTTTTACATTAAAAGCCTTCTTACAGCTGCCCAAGCACTGAAGTCAATGAGAAGTGTTGTTGCTGCACCGCCTGATAGGTGTAAATGGTGCTGCGGAAATAAATACTATGCTAACATTTACATGTGAGCCATTAAAGTAGACTACCGATAATTTCACTCGTCCATCGTTTTTTCAATTAATCCGTCTAAAAGGGACAACAAATACATACGGCATGTAGTGTTATTTCTCAATAGTTCTGAAGTGGAAACGATGTTTGTTTTTACTTGTTATTTAGGGGATTTGGAGACACAAAAGCACAGCGTGTTTAGTTGTATCACTGAGATGTCCCTGACTGCATGCCTACGTCTGTGGGTGGTGTCTCCTTTGGTGTTTTTTCAGGTTGCTGGGGTCCGAGAACCTCTCGGGGCAGAGGGGGCACTGGTACGGTCTCTCCCCAGTGTGGATGTTCCGGTGGATCTTCAGGTTCCAGAACTGGGAGAACTTTTTGCCGCAGACGGTGCAGCCGTACGGTCTCTCTCCTGTGTGAGTCCTGAGGTGGGACTCTAAATTTGCCGGGGAGCTGAACCCTTTACTGCAGAACCTACAGATGCACAGCCTCTTCCTCTGGGATTTCTGCTGCATCTCGGCACTTAAATTGCCCTGACCCCGGCTATGCCCTGGACCCAGGAAGTGCTGAGGCTCCTGGATCTGACCTGTCACGTGACTGGGGCCGGGATCCTCCGACAGATCGATAACAGGGGACTGCTGGGGAAAGGAACCAGAGGTGTGGAAGCCTCTAGAGCTTTCAAGAGCCAACCCCCTTCCTTCTGAATGCCCAGCATCCATTGTGCTGGGCGGGAATGAGAGGGGGGCGCAGTGAGAAGACGGCCCCGGGAGGCTGTCTTTGTGACAATAACTACCCCCCCCATTATTCCACTGCGAAGAATGCCCATAGCTGACCTCTGAGAAGCCCGGCCCTGACTCCTGCAGGTCGGACAGCTGATTGGTGGTTTGTGTGATGTCATCAAATGGCTGAACAGCTCTGTAGTCGTCGGTGCTCGACTCCACCAACCCTGCAGACACACAGAGAAACTCTCTGTCAGACACACTGTATGTACTGGAAAACATTATATTTAGAAATTCAGGCTTTTCATAAAACTGCATACAACTGGAAGGACAGCTGCTGCTAAAGAACAATTAAAACAAGTGCAGAGAAAAACACTTTGTTAATGTTTTGATCTGTTACCAGGAAATGGGAAAGAAGTATTTGGCCCAGGTACATCCTTTAGTGTGAGGGCATGAACAAACATGATTCATTGTAATATTATAAGTAATATGCACATGTCAGTTCCAGTTGCTTTTCCAATGTTAAATTGGCTTTTAAGCCACCTTTAGCTTAGCGGTGGTGACGTGAAATCATGTGACCGTGATGTAGTTGGATTTTAGCCTTACGTTGACTATTTCATTTTGGTGATTGCAGTTACGCTTCAAAAGTCATAAAGTGGTATTTATATGTGGAGATTATCATGCTGAACAAACGGGTAAGTATAACAAATGTTTGTTTGCAATAGATATTTTCGATAATATTCCAAAATCCAATGCAAAAATCCCATTTATTTCTTGTCAAGGGAGCCCTTGAAATGCTAACCTCTACATTGGGCTACAAAAATACGTCATCGCTGCCCCACTCTTTAACGGCGTATATACTTTGCATTGTAAGGTTGGTTGGTGACCTCATAGTGTGGTAACTTCTTCAATTGAAAGGTGGGGGTGCGCACTCACCCTCCTGTATGCTGAGGCCCGTCTGGCTCCCTGGCTCCCGCTCTTCTACCTTCACCAGCACCACATCTAGCTCCAACTCCTCCTGCACACACAGAGAGGAACTATCAGATGTTTCTGCACCGTAGACACACAGGACCATAGCACATGAAACAGAAATATGAGCGGTGTAATAATTCTCAGTGGATTTGTCAGCAGCAACATAATTGCAAACATTCTGCCAACCCAATACAGGTATTTGAAGACCATTTCAACAGTGACCTAGAATTTCTCAAATGTATATTTACATAAACAGTAGGGGTGTAACGGTGTCCGTATGTCGGACGTCACGGTTCGGCACACGCACTCACACGACGAATACGCCTTTTTTTTACGAGTGGGAAAAAAGTCTGTCATTCAGGGCAGTATCCATTACACTATTTATAATCCAGGGGGCGGTATTGCGCCTAAAAGCTGAAGAACAAGAAGAAACACAACAACAAAACGAACAAAATACAAGAAGAAGAAAAGTTAGTATGGCGATTTCAGATAACACACAGGAGCTAGAACCCACCTGCTTCTTTTAAATCAGCTGTGTGGGAACATTTCGGGTTCCCTGTGGACTACAATAACGATGGAGTGCGAGTGGTGGATCGGACGAGTGGTGGATTGGACGAGGACGGTGTGTCGGCGTTGTTAAACAGCGGTGCGGTAACGACGCTGAAGTTGGCTTCCGATTCAGAGCATCCGATTCGGCAGTTAAGGAGAAAGTTAAGGGACATTTAATTTACAGCGCTGAGCGAACAATCCTCCGTGTTTGAACCTCTTAAATTGCTGCATAGCCGATTTATTTGGACTGGATTATCCCAGAGAGTCTAAAGATTCTTTATAACCCAGTTTCAGATTTGTGAAACCTTTATTCTATTTGTGAAAATACAAAAAAGGGAGATTTCAGTGCTTTTTTCGCATCCTGACCACATTAGACCAGGTCCTGATCTGAAACCACTAGACCTAGACTCATCAAATCTGGACTGGATTATCCCACAGAGGCTAAAGATTCTTTATAACCCAGTTTTAGATTTGTGAAACCTTAATTCTATTTGTGAAAATACAAACAAGGGAGATTTCAGTGCTTTTTTCACATGTAGACCACATTAGACCAGGTCCTGTTCTAAAACCACTATACCTAGACTCATCAAATCTGGACTGAATTATCCCAGAGAGGCTAAAGATTATTTATAACCCAGTTTGAGATTTGTGAAACCTTTATTCTATTTGTGAAAATACAAAAAAGGGAGATTTCAGTGCTTTTTTTTACATGTAGACCACATTAAACCAAGTCCTGATCTAAAACCACTTTACCTAGACTCATCAAATCTGGACTGGATTATCCCACAGAGGCTAAAGATTCTTTATAACACAGTTTGAAATTTGTGAAACCTTTATTGTATTTGTGAAAATACAAACACAGGTGGAAGGCTGAGGTTGCTGCAGCAGGCCAGGATCAGAATCAGAGAGTGAACCTCCCAGCTGGGCAAGCCTTTATGCCTTCTTGTATTTTCACAAATAGAATAAAGGTTTCACAAATCTGTTATAAATAATCTTTAGCCTCTGTGGGATAATCCAGTCCAGATTTGATGAGTCTAGGTCTAGTGGTTTTAGATCAGGACCTGGTCTAATGTGGTCAGGATGCGAAAAAAGCACTGAAATCTCCCTTTTTTGTATTTTCACAAATAGAATAAAGGTTTCACAAATCTGAAACTGGGTTATAAATAATCTTTAGATTCTCTGGGATAATCCAGTCCAAATAAATCGGCTATGCAGCGATTTAAGAGGTTCAAACACGGAGGATTGTTCGCTCAGCGCTGTAAATTAAATGTCCCTTAACTTTCCCCTTAACTGCCGAATCGGATGCTCTGAATCGGAAGCCAACTTCAGCGTCGTGGAATGGAAACACACGCCAAACATGCTAAATCATATCAGAAGGCATCACCCAGATTTTCCAATCACCGGAGCCCGGCAAAAGACAACAGCAGTTCAACAGCTTATCCCCGCTGTTTTTAAGAAGCCAAGAGACATGAGAGCCGAGAGAACAAATAAATAACGGAAGCTTTTGGCATATGTTTTTCAACGACTTTGCGCTCTTGAAACACGTTCTTATTATTTATTATGTAATATTTTCAAGACATTCTTTTAAGTTTTACAGCTTGATGAAACCTTTTTGTTTGACATCAGCCATTATAGATAATATGGCCATCTGAGTGTGTATGGTTTGTTTTTAACTGTTTAATACAGTTAATTATTCAAAATGTCAGAGTTCCTTATTTTTAAACTGAAACTTGCACTACTGTTCAAACATAAATAACAACAAACCTGTAATTATGCATTTGGAACTTTTTTTAGCTTTTTCTTGTACCGAACCGTACCGAACCGTGACCCCCAAACCGAGGTATGAACCGAACCGTGACTTCTGTGATCCGTTACACCCCTAATAAACAGTACTACTGGGGTCCTCAAATCTACATTTAAATCAATCAGTTATTCAAATGAACCGTACTATAGTGTTAACCTTTTATACATTCCAGTTGAATTAATTTTAATTAATTAGTTAATTAACATTTATTAACATGTATTCTAATTAAGTCTAAAATATATTTTATGATCGATGGATAGATTTTTTTTCTCATTTAAACACTTCCTGATTCAAAACTAAATCAGTGCTAATACGGGCATTGTGGCAAATGATTGCTTAACTTAGTTTGTGAACTTTTGGTATTCACAATCTGATGATAATCTTGATCTGTACACAAATCAATATCCCCCCTCCTATAATAACAACCTACTTCATGCATATCCATTAAATATTTCTCCCTTTGCACTATTTGACATTTCAACTTTTTATGTGTGTGTGTGCGTGTGTGCACACAAGCCCATTGAGAGCCAGAGTTCAGGAATCAGGAACAGGAATCTAAACTCATCTGAGATGTAAAAAAAGACTGAACAGTGGTTTAAGAAACATTTTGTTCCATAAATGACATGTTTTATAAAATGGTAAATATTTCAACTTTAAAATACATGAAATGAGTTACATTTGTAATGACAAAGCTCTGATCCTTTACTTGGAGTATATGGATACCATGTTCCTCTGCAGTGAGTGAATACTGGCTTAGACTGAATTCCAACACAGGTAGGAGGCGTGTGGCGCAGTGGTTAGAGCATTGGTGTTCGGATCAAGGGAGCACAGGTTCAAACCCCACTGCAGTCAGCATGTCGTTGTGTCCCTGGGCAAGACACTTTACCCCAAATTGCTCCTGTGGGGATTGTCCACAGTATTGAGTATGTAAGTTGCTTTGGATAAAAGCGTCTTACAAGTGTAATGTACCGATTTATTTTATTCCCACAATAAAACCAAAGGAAACACAATGTGTCACACAGATGACTGGAATAGCCTCATTTTAAAATCTCCTGTAAACAATGGAATTGAAAACATTATTTTCCACCAAGTTCAGTCAGTCAGTCAGTCAGTGCACCCCCACCTACTACTGTGTAATGCTTTTCCTATTTTAGTTTTTTTTTTTTTTTACTGGTCGCACAAGTTGTGAATAGGACCTTTTTTCATTTTTGGTAGCACCTTGAGGTTCAATCTTTCCATATACAGTCCCCCCAGTCCCAATCCCCCCCGCACCCTGCCTGAAACACTTCCATTACGGTGCGTCCACACGGTTCCATCGCGTTGAAGCTTGCCGGTGGGCGTGTATTGCGCACAACCAACAACCAATCACATTAATCTCCCACCCCGGACACACATGCACGCGGTTTGATTGGCTAGCGCTTGTACTGGCATATGATTTGATTGGCTGGCGCTTCCGTCGACGCTTGAAAAGTTGAACTTTCAGTGCGTGCAACGGAGGCAAAGCGCCGCGACGGAACAACAATGCAGTTCGGCAAAGCTTGACGTCACCTGATTCAAAGTGAATGGGAAGCATCTCCGTTGAAGCTTGCGACGGAACCGTGTGGATATTACGTTAGACTCCTTTGTTTACTTTTTGTTTCACAAAGTGACATCCATCAGAACACTCATGCTTTTATTGGCTGGAGCTCAAACACATCACACGTGATAGGCGAAGGGGCAGGACATCTTCCAGCAGTGAGCCAATAATAACAGAGCCGGCCAGCTAACCAATCAGAGCAGACTGGGCTCTGGTTTCAGACATAGGGTGAAAAGAGGTGCTGCAGCACAGGCAGTATGAGAACAATAAAGAGCTTTTGAACATTAAAGCATGGAGACATGTCACAGTAGAGACACTAAATACTGATATGAACCTGAAATGAGCATAATAGGGCCCCTTTAACTCAACATAGATTTAAAGAAATGGCAACCTTGAACAATCATGTACACTCTAAAGTACAATTTACTATGAGCCGACATTTGTCCGTTTGGTTGCAGATGAAAGGATTCCGAGAGTGTCGCTTTTTAGATACTGTCACACAAGAGAATCCTGCCTACACAGAGGTAGGTAATCTCCTGGACCACTGTAAGTCTATGAGAAAATTATCTTTGCAGCAATGTGGTGATATTCTTAAGGTAATCATATCCCATATGCTAATCCTAACCTAAACAGAACTCATTTTACAACAAATGTCAAAGCCTGATTTTATTAATCTGAGCCAAAGAGCTCCATGTTTGTCCCAAAAGTATTTCACACTGATGCACTGTGGGAAGCAGGTTGGAGTCCAGCACAGAGCATGTTACTGAGAGTGCTGTGGAAGACTATGTGGCAACCCTGTCAATTCAGTATTTCTACATAACTCATGTACGTGTGTTACCTTTCTGTGTGTATGTAATGTGTTTACATTACAGAAAAAAATAACAATGTAATAGTTTTAAACTACTACATTGTTCTTTTTTTCCCAGAGAGTATTTTAATAAAGTGCTTAGCAAATGAGTAAACTTTATATTAGTAAGGTGTTTTTACATCAGAGAGTATATTGAGAGACCCATTAAAAAATGTTTGCTTTGTGTTTGAATATGAAATGTATTTATACCAAAAGCCTTCTGCTTTAAGACGCTTATATGAAACTGGACCAAAGACTATGCAGAGTCTCCACAGCAGCAGAAGGGATGCTGGTGTGTTTGCAGCAACATCATGTATGAATGGTAATACTACTTACCAGAGGTGGGGACTCGAGTCACATGACTTGACTCGCATATTTTTTTACTTGAGACTTGCTTGACTAACATTGATAAAAGACTTGACTTTGACTTGGTATTCATGACTTGAGACTTGATTTAAGCTTGAGATAGATGACTTGAAAGGACTTGACTGTTTAAAATTATATATTTGCGTTTGTTTTTGTATTGAGATATTACGTTTAGTTCTTTCGAAAAACGTGATTGGGTGATTATAGCGCCGTGCGCGCAAACCTGGCAACCCACTAGAAGGCAGGAGTCTCAGTTAACATGGCAGCGGCTAGCTTTACTCCAAAAATAGTGAAGTTTGGATTCAAGGATTATGTTGTCGATGACGGTAATAAGAAGAGAACAGTGGTATGCAGGGTCTGCAGCATAAAGATCAGTGACACGACCACCAAAACATCCAACTTCATTCGTCACTACAAAAAAAACCACAGAGAAAGGTGCGAGCATGTGTTGTGTTAGCTAGAAAGCTAACGTTAAGTTTAAGCTACGTTAGACTTAGTTTCAAATCGATTAAGCATTGCAAAGAGAAGATAAAACGGTAAATTAACATTAGAACCGCCAAGGGATTCATTTTGACTAACCCTGATACTGACGGGCTGTCAGGAGAGAGAGAGAGAGAGGAAAAGAGATGCCTCGTTTATTTCCCCTGTGTTATTATCAGAAGTTACTGAACATTTTTGAATAATGTAGTTCATCTACTTTTAGTAGTTTGTTTAAATGTTTTAATTATGTTGTTTTTGTTTGTAAAAGTGCATCATTCTTTGATTTATTGTAAAATGAATCTGAACCTTTTGATCTGTTATGATGATAAACTGAAGCAATTTCTAAATTAATCCAATTAACTGAGTTTTAATCGTCCTACTTAGTTTATAAGGAAATTATGAAGAGGAACAAATGAAATGATTTGAAAATGATATCTATGTAGGTGCTGACGCTGTTGGAGGTTCTAGTGTTAACAGAAATTTAAATTAAATGTGTAATTGCAAATGCCATATATGATTTTCTTACCTGGAATTCTGCATTTTTGAATAGACTTTTTGAGTCCTAGCTATATTGTCTGCAGTTCTAGGGTTAATATGAAACTAATATGATTACCATCGGTCTAAATTAGATTTCAAATGATTAACTGTGTATGTAATGAAGATCATAGTGTGGATTAAATCCATTTTCATAACCACTGTCTTTTAACTGATGCGGAAATGTGGAAACTGGGCTTATTCATCAGAATTGTGTATGACTTGACTTGACTTGCTTGACCTGAGCAATGACTTGACTTGACTTACTTGACTCTCACCACAGTGACTTGGGACTTGCTTGATACTTGTAGGTCAAGACTTGAGACTTGCTCATGACTTGCACATGTAGGACTTACTCCCACCTCTGCTACTTACTATACTTATACTGATAGTGCTTTAGGCTACACATTAGTAAAAATGTGTCCTTAATGTTCTGTCGGAGACTTTCACAATTGTAAAGAGAACATTTTAAAAAGACATAGTCGTCATAACCAAATTTAAATTCTAAAGTATAAAAGCTTGACCTCAGCATTTACTGGAATGCCTCTTGTTTCTCTCTTTGAAAACAATATCAAATGTTTCATAAAACGTTTCACATCAACATATCAGAGTGTTTTCTGGATGATAACATCTTTCAGTATCCTCCGGTTGGTTCACAGTCTAGGCCTGCTCCCAGCTCTCATTCAGCAGAGATTTCAGGGTGGCTCTTCTGGTGTGTTTTCAGGTTCCTTATCCAGGCGAATCCCCTGCCACAGATCTCGCATCTGTACGGTTTCTCTCCAGTGTGAACTTTCTGGTGTTTCCTCAGGTTCCCGGCCTCGGAGAACATCTTCCCGCAGGTGGAGCAGCTGAACGGTCTCTCCCCGGTGTGCACCCGCTGGTGGATCTCCACCTTCTTGGGACGGTTAAAGGCCTTGCCGCAGTAGCTGCAGACAAACAGTCTCTCCTTGGTAGCGGGGCGTCGCTGCGCTGATCCGCCCCCACTGATGGGCTGGGAGGGGGGGGCACCGGGGCTGTAACGCATCCAGCCGTTCATACTGGCAGAGGTTGATGGGTAATCAGCCGCTGCCATCGAGTACGAGCAAGACGCCTTCCTCCCTTCAACTTCGTCGAAAAACTCCTCCACCAACAGGTTCGCACCATTATCATTGTCACACAACAGGTCAAAATGTGAGTCCCTGCTGGCGTCATCAACATACTGCTGTGGGGAGTCTCTGCCCTCAACACTGAGTTCACATGTAAGAGGAGGAGAGGAGTCACTGACCTCCACTCCTCGGCTGCTGCCGCCCGGGTGTCTCCTGCTGCTCTGGATCTGGGCCCGGGTCTGACTGGAAGTGGACTGAGTCTCCTGTCCTCCAGCTCCATCCTCCACCACGCCTTCAGAGAGACCGGGGGAACAAGACATGGAAAATAAACATTTAGTGCTTTACTCTCTTTCACTCCTGTTCTGAAGTCTTTACACTGGCTTCCTGTGTGTCAAATAATAGATTTCAAAATACTGCTGCTGGTTTATAAAGCACTGAATGGTTTAGGGCCAAAATACATTTCTGACCTCCTGCTAAATTATAAACCAGTCAGAACTCTCAGGTCTTCAGGGACTGTTCAGCTTTCTGTCCCCAGAGTCAGAACTAAACATGGAGAAGTTCAGTTATTATGCTCCAAACATCTGGAACAAACTCCCAGAGACCTGCAGGTCCGCTGAAACTTATTTGATTATCTTTGCTTTTTCATGTCTGTTTTTAAATGCCATATTTCTTAATGCTCTTAATGTTTTTCATTGTTTTAAAGCACTTTGAATTGCCTTGAAAGGTGCTATATGAATACACTTGCTTTGCGCCTATACAGACACAACTTCTTTCACACAAGTATTCATGCCCTATTTTGTAGTTACTAAACTCCCAAAAAATGAATTCGCTAAGAGGCTAAACTCCAAAGAAAGAGTATGTGCTGAAGTTGTGTTTCACGGTGTTTAAAGAAAAAAACGAATTTATGCAGGACCAAACTTGTCAGCTCACCCACTTGATATCCACAACCAAGAACACAACAGGTGAACTAGTTACCGATGAAACACACCTACGTGACATTTACCGGAAGCGACCAAGCACAAATGTGTGCAGTGTAAACAGTTGATAATGGTAACAGAAACAATGAATAACAGCTAAATACGCACTAGGGCTGCCCTCGACTAAAGATTTTTCTAGTCAACCAATTGTCGTTAATTAAGGCCATTAGTCGACTAATCGTTGCACGTTTATGATACATTATGAGTATAAATATATATTCTTTTTTCCCAAAATGGTTTCAGTTTCAAAGGCTGATAAAGAGCGTTATTATAACAGCATGGTACGTTGTGGTTCAGATAAAATATAAAATAAAACTGTAATAATGAACCTTTGAAATATAAATTAAATGTAGAGAGCGCATGAGAGTTACAGCGCACGGACGCAGCGATATAAACAGCAGAAGCTCCGGTAACGGTACGTCCACACGGCAGCGCCGTGTGCTCCAACGGAGACGCTTTGCCGAACTGCATTGTGGTTCCGTCGCGTCACTTTGCCTCCTTTGCTCTCTTCGAAAGTTGAGAAAAGTTCAACTTTTCAAGCGTCGATGGAAGCGCCAGCCAATCAAATCATATGCCAGTACAAGCTTTAGCCAAACAAACCACATGCTTGTGTGTCCGGGGCGGGAGATTAATGTGATTGGTTGTTGGTCGCACGCCAGACACGCCCACCGGCAGGCTTCAACGCGACGCTGCCGTGTGGACGTACCGTAAGGATTCTTATTGTGTGTGTGTGTGAACAAGCAGCGAGGACACACACAGAACATTTAGTTTTAGTTTCTATTATTCATATCTGAATATAACAACCCAATAAATACTACAGAGGAAACAGAAACACAGAAAATATAAGCGTCGGCCAAAATCCCTCTGCATTACGCCCTCATCATGAAATTCAAGCTTTATCGTTTTCTGAGGTCAGAATGATTATATATTATAGGTCTAAATATGTTGATACAAAGATAGGCTACTACTTCACTGCAGCTGATTTCCTCCGAGTCTGAGAAAGTAACACACGTTGTGGGGATAATTAAGCTTCGTGTTTTGTTATGAAGCCGGCATTCAGGAAGCTGCGCTGTGATGGCGTGGGTATGGAGGAGACTTGTTGCCGTCGTAGTTTGCATGTCACCTTGTGGGACTTGTCCTTTACTCGCTCAGAAAGATCCACACTTTAGATTTCCTACCCGAACTTAATAACCAGGCCCCATTCTGAATGAAGTCTGAGGGGGTTTCCGGCTGACGCGTCATGCAGTGCACGGATGGATTTTTTATTTTTACTAATAATAATATTGCTGATTAAGACTTAATTAGTCGACTAGTGATTAATCGACGTTTTGAGGCAGCACTAGTTCCTACACATATGCTACTAGGTGTATAACTTAAAATAATTTGTATTATTTATGAACCAATTACTTATGAACAATCTTTCATAGCCAGCTATGGTAGACTAATTTAACTCAATTTCTCTTTTGGACCGAAATACTGTTTTTATTCACCAACCCTTTTTAGTTATTTCCATTTTACAAAATCCTTATCCTAATTGACCATCTCTAAAACGTCCTGCTGGTGTTTCACTTAAAATTCTTTTAACTGCTCTATGATATCATCCCTGCAAGGTTTTAATTGTAAGACACCCCGAGTGCCAAAGGTGGTCTCAAATATAATCCTTTTTAGTGTGAATGCTGTTTACAGCATTCCACTATAGTTCTTATTTTCTTTAATCATCTTCAACTTCATCTTCTTTTCCTTATTTCACCAAATAGTTTGGCTCTCAATAACTTCAGCCTACTTTCAGCTACAGAAACCATTCAAATATCAGAAATATTCAGCCTTTTCAGCACATGCTAGGAAACTTTCAACTTGACTTTTTTAACTATTTTTTTAACGTAACTCAATGGGAGGAACTAGGGCTGCTCAATTAATCGTATTTTAATCGCAATTACGATTATGGCTTGCAACGATTACGAAAACAACGTAATCGAAATATAACGATTATTTTTTTATTATTATTTTTATTGGTTTTTCAGTTGAATTATACTTAAAGTTCAGGGTAATCAACTGTTAAAAACATACTGTTCAAAAAAATTGTCTCCAATAAATTGATGTTTTCAAAGTAAATGGATAATCGTTTTTAATAATCGTGATATCAATTATTGACCCAATAATCGAGATTATGATTTTTGCCATAATCGAGCAGCCCTAGTTTCTAGCAAAACTATTTTAAGAGATGACATGAGCAGCCCTACCAGCATTTGCCATGGTGGCCAACACATATTTATTTGGTCTTAAATTGTAGTTCAACATTTATTTCCTGTTACCTCTGGACCATGACGGTGGGCCAGCCTTTAATGTTTAACTGAGTGGAATATGTTGAATATGTTTTACCAACATGTTGGCTATATGTTAAGGAGTTTTCAGTAGGTTGTGACAGTGCACTGCAACATGTTTGTTGATCTTGTTTATTGGTATTTATTATTTTGATATTATTTATTTAAATGTAGATATGAATGTATAATTTATTTTATTTTATATTGGTTTTTCAGTTGATTACCCTGAACGTATAATTCAACAGTTAAAAACGTTCAAATTATTATTTTTATTTGTTTTAAAGTACAATAAATGGATGTTTTGAGTCAATGAATAATTGCATTTAATAATCGCAATTACAATTATTGACCCAAATAATCGAGATTATGATTTTTGCCATAATCGAGTAGCCCTAGGAGGAACCTTCAAATCCTCTTTTACCTACATCGTGCGCCAAATGCTACTCCTTCCACATACTTCTAGCTAGAGACTTCATTCCAACTTTAAAATTATCACAAGACATTCAGCTATACAACTTGTTCTTCAGATTTCTGATATATTTTACACTTTGAGATATTTAACTTAGTTTGGAGCTTGGTAAAGAGGCTTTCTTCAGATTTTAACATTAGTGTGTATTTTAAACCTGCCATAATTCCCAAACCCTACACTCCTGGGACATAATTATATACTTTTGGCCCAATTCAGCGACCAGAGAGGGGGGGGGGGGATATATCCAGTTTCTGATTGTGTTACGTTATGAGAGTGCTCTCATACTTGTTTGATTCTGAAATTGTATGTATAAATATATGTGTGTGTGTATATATGTCCGCATCTGTAGCCTGTTATTGTCTCACTATACCGCACTGTGAATGAATTAAAAGTAAATATATAAGTCTTCATGAACACAGTTCTGTCCATCAGACAGAGGGCTGCTGTGCCTCCTGTCATCATTAATGGACGTCTCTTTAAAATGACCGCTCAGAGGAGAGGATTTCTCATTTCTCTAAACGCCTGCTGCTTCCACGCCTCTCTCCTCGGCTCCTCCGCTCGCATCTCCTGTGGGCGCGACTAAGACACGAGGATAGGAGTCGAGGAGGGGAAATTAGAGAATTTAGAAGCCTTCGAAGACTGTCTCAGCCTATTCTTTTCTGTCTGATGGAGACTTCATACTGACTTCAACAGGTTCCACATATTTTATACATTATTGGTGACGTTTGGTTTTAGTTCAAACGTTTGCAGTTAAAATATTCTGCTGCTTTCCCAAGCCTTTTTACTTTATTTTCTCTTCTTAATAAACATTCATTCACTACTACTTACATCTGATATGTAACTCCGTCAGCCTATTTTCAGCTATAAACCATTCAACTATTACATTATTCAGCTATTTCAGGACATTGAGGCTATACATTTAGTTGTTTATACCTTTTTTAAACCTTTTCTTTTAAATATTAAGCTTCTTCACTATTTTTCCTACTCTTCCAGTTTAACATTTCACTTTCAAGTTTTCAACAAAGTCAACAATTTTGATTAAAACAATTTCACTTTCCAGCATTTCTCCGCTAACTTCAGCAACACACTTACTTGGTTTTTGTAGCTAAAAGCAGCTACCATTCAGCTAATAACATATTCAGCTTTTTCTGCATTTTCAGCTAAATTCAGCAACAAATGTTCACAGTTTACAGCATTCGCACACATTTTCAGCAGGAAATGCATTTTCTAGTTTAATTAAAGCTTTATTCTCTCTGCAGTGGAGGTAAATAAAGTCCTGCCAGTGTTTAATAATTTAAATTAAACCAAACTAAGTCAACTGTTTTCCATGCTACGGACACTGAAGTCTGGAACAGCATTGATCAGAGCCAGTTTGAATGAAACAGTATCTTCATCTCTTAAGACTGAACTGCGTCGGTGTGTATGTATACTATCAATTATGCTGTAAGAAAAAATAAGGGTTAAAGTTGAAATCTCCCCAGGTATGGAACTTTTATTAATTTATTTTAAAACGCTATTTTCTTTTCATGTCTGAAACAGAGGATAGTTATTACTTGATAACGAACGGTTAGTTAATCGTCGTGTGAAGGATGATCATTTTGATCACTTCCATCCTTGATTATTAATAACATGAGATGTGTTTCTTGAGTTTGAGGCTATAGTGCAAATGTGTGAACTCCATAAGAATAGTTAATGCTAATGGTGATCCTGATATTGAATATGAATCCTCAGCTTTAGTTAGTCTCACAGACACAGGCAGAAACACTGTGTGTACTCACCGTCCTCTCCTATGAACGGCACGTTGTCCTCCGCTTCTTCAACTCTCAAGTTGGCCTCCACCTTCTCCTCCTTCACCAGCATTACCTCTGGCTCCACCAGCTCCACATCTGGAGACTGCACATCAACACAGGGCTCACTCAGTTCAGGCTAAACTAAGTACATTTATTCAAGTACGGTACTTTAGTACAATTTTGAGGTACTTTTCTTGTGTATTTCCATTTTATGCTACATAATCTGAAGGCTTTAGTTAATTAACATATTGAAAAATTAGCTAATACAAAAAATAAATCATCTAATAAATAAACATGTACATATAATAGGATAAGATATCCAGCCGCAGTATACAAAGTCATTAAAGTCAGCTCCACCTTTACCAGCTGTGCTGAACACATTAATCATCATAATACAGTCATTTAATATATATGATTTGAAATGGGACATTATGAATAACAAGCATTTGTACTTTAAGGACATAAAGTATATGGTGATTACAATAATGTTTTACTTTAATCAGATTTTTAATGCAGGTATTTTACTAAAGTAATATATCTGCTGCAACTATTTTCCTTTATTTCTGTTTGAGCTTGTTTTTAAATTGTATTCTATTTTATTCTCTCTGATTTTTTTAAAGACTGTTCTTAAATATCATTAAGATGTTTCTGTTGCACTATATCTTAATTATTTTAATGTTTAGAGCTTTGCGTTGAAATGTGCTGGATAAGTAAACTTCCCTTGTCTTGCCTAGATAAATACTTATTCCACGACTGCTCATTTTCTTCTTCATGCTCCCCCGCTGCTTACATACAACTTCAGGTTACATTTGAATGCAGCAGTGCTCAGCATCTGATTTTTAACATTCAGTCGGGTCTATTCACCTTGAGCTCTGCCGGCTCAAGGGAGCTTCAACATTGCCTTATAATGTCTCGGCACTTTACTTTACATAGCGTCGCCCACTTTATCAAACTTTACTGGACTAAGAAACTATATTAAGCTTTTGAATGAACTGTTATTAAGTTATAATAATAATAATAATAATAATAATAATAAAGCGAAAAGCTTGATTTACAGATAGAGAGATAGAAAGAGTTCACTAGTTGGCTAACTACATTTGCTTGCTAAATAACACAACAGGTTCATTGAGGTGATCTTTTTTTTTTTTAAGTTCAACACTGTTGACCTTTGTTCTTCCTCCTCACAGGGTGAGTTTATAAACTGTCATTATAAGCGTTAGTGTGCAGTCCGACCAGCTGATGTGTTACGTTACTTTTCTGTAGCTACAAATGTCCTCAGATGCGGCATTCACACCAACGCTTTTCCCTTTCTAGCTCCGAGCGGGAGCTTTTCTGGTTCAGCTCCGGTTTCCCTTTTCTGCTCCCGCTCTGTTCACAACGCCCAGAGCTGCCGCTGCTGCGTCATGACGTCACCGTTTACGTGCCTGCTTCATAAAATCCAAACCACGTGGAAATCCCTCACATCGACAACAACAATGGCCGATTGTATTGAAGCGCTGTTCGCTTTGGTTATCCTGTTACGAAACTAAATGGAAGGCATCGGACGACTTTACAAGGTACGACTTTACTTGGAACTTTACAAACATCACATGCGAAATGCAAGACTTCTTTGTGGTCTTCAGCATCAACGACGAATCCGTAGGAAAAAGAAGCCTGCCCCCGCCTCGACGTAAGAGAGACGTAAGCGACGCCGCCTCTTAGCTCCGAAGCTCTTGCCTCTAGACCGACAATTTTTTGGAGCTGGAAGTGAACCGGATTCCGGAGCTAAGAGGCGACGCCTCTGCGGTGTGAACAGGAAAAACCGGTACTTTTCAGGCTCCAGCTCCGAGCCGGAGCTGAAAACGCGTTGGTGTGAAAGGGGCAATATAGGATTTAGGTTCATGTCATCCTGCCAGTCTCTAACATGCGGCTTTCACACCAGCGCTTTTCCCTTTCTAGCTCCGAGCTAGAGCTTTTCTGGTTCAGCTCCGGTTTCCCTTTTCTGCTCCCGCTCTGTTCACACCACCCAGCACCCGACTGGTGCTGCCGCTGCTGCGTCATGACGTCACCGTTTACATCGCTGATTTGCTCCCCAACGGCATTACGGCGCTCACAACAACAAAAACAACAACAACAACGGGGAACTGCGTCGGGTCGATGATCGTGTTGCTTTTAATCACACGAAGCCAGATTAAATTAAATAACGACTTCTCCAACCTTATACTTTGCTCCAGAGTGCCGTGGTTCATTGTTTATTAATGTGTTTCTGCAGCATTTACCGACCGCTGCAGTGTTGGCTGCTCTTCCACGGGAGTTTATTCTCCTCCGTTAGCTCCCGGTTAGCTCACACTGCAGCGGCCGCTCTAAAGTATTCACTGTCCGACTCACAAAAGCAGCTGATACATATCCCCAGTTCCCCTTAGCCTAAGTGAATGTGTGTCAGTCTGAATTGACGCTGTTTGGTATCACAACGCTGTTATGAAAGTTTCTCTGGTATAAAATGGGTGACGTTAGCATAGCAACCGAAGCTAAACTGACTACTTGCTATTGCTATCCTATTGTGGCATAAACCGTTTTCTACAGGCACATTTTACCGGCGTATTTTTATTATGATTCTACTTGTGATAGTCGGACACGACAACCTGTGCAGCCCATGTATTGATTCCATCCGATAGCTGCTATAATACAAAACAACACGTCTGCCTCTCTCCACAATGATCAATAACAGTGAACGGATGGTCAAAGTAAGGTACAAATAAACAGAATCACACGAAGCCTGGTTAGTGTTGCCTGACTTTATAAAGTGTGTTTATAAGCACTACTGCTTGTAGGCAGGCATGACAGTCGACCCATGTTCAGGGGAGGTGGGTTAAGTTTCCTGCACGCCTCGACGTAAGAGAGACGTAAGCGACGCCACCTCTTAGCTCCGAAGCTCTTGCCTCTAGACCGACAATTTTTTGGAGCTGGAAGTTAACCGGATTCCGGAGCTAAGAGCCGGCGCCGCTGCGGTGTGAACAGGAAAAACCGGCGCTTTTCAGGCTCCAGCTCCGAGCCGGAGCTGAAAAAGCGCTGGTGTGAAAGGGGCAACAGAGGATGGATGTGGTACTGTAAGACTATCCTATCCCGAATAAAGTTCATTGTTTATAATGCAGCTAATGCTGAACCGGATTCACTAAGACTAAAGCGTTTGAACTGGAAGGGGGGAAAGGGGGCTAAAGAAGGTGAGCTTACCTTCCTCTGGACGCTGTCAGAGTGGACGGGCCTGACGCTCGGCCGCCCTGCAGCAGCTTTACCCGGCCACAGCGCAACCTCTATCCGCCTCTCAAACACACCTACACAAAAACAAGAACAAGTTGTATTCAGAACAACTGAGAGTACATTTCAATGTTCAGTGTTGTACCTACAGTGGAAGCAACGCTAGCAAAACACAAATCAGTAAATGTACCGCCCGTCATGACACAGTTAGGACCCAAGCATTTTGTGTCTGAGGAAGGTTCACACTTTATAACAGCTGATATTTTTTATGTGAGACTTTTTAAAGAAATGTGTTGCATTTGGTCGAGATTTCAGACACCAACACACACTGCTCTCTGCTCATATCCCTCTGTACTCACTGAAAATTGAAGAGCAAGAAAGATCTTCTTTTGATAACTGTAATTTCAGCACATTCTGACCTCAAAATATTAGTTTAGCAATCAGGGTGATATTGAACTTAAATGTAGTTACAACTTCCTAGGAAATACAAATCAGTTTAATCGCTTTGATGATGTGTTGAGTTGTAGGTTGAAATACAGATGACCTTTCTCATCTGATACCAATGTTTGGAAAAACAATTTGGCTAATTCTGGTGTTTTCCTTTTTTTGTTGTTGTTAATTTAAAAGGGGACCTATCATGCAAAATGCACTTTGTGATGTCTTTTATACATAAATATGTGTCGCCGGTGCGTCGGGGAACTCACGCAGTGTCAGAAAATAAAACCCTCTCTCTATCAATCAATCAATGTTTATTTATATAGCCCAATATCACAAATGTTACATTTGTCTCAGTGGACTTCAAAGTTTGTACAGAATATCAGTATGACAATACGACACCCTCTGTCCTTAGACCCTCACATCGTACAAGGAAAAACTTCCGGAGAAAACCCACAGTTTAAAGGGAAAAATGGGAGAAACCTCAGGGAGAGCAACAGAGGAGGGATCCCTCTCCCAGGACAGACAGACGTGCAATAGATGCTGTGTGTAAATTGAAAAGATAATACATTTACAACATAGGTAGTCCAAATGTTTAGAAATGCATGTGTCTATAATAAGAAGATGAATCCACAAGGATATCCATCCAGGACTCATGATCCAGGACCACAGCAACAGGCACAGCCACAACTCAAGATCCAGGGCTTGCGATCCAGGACTCAGGACCACAGCAACAGGATCATCCACGACTCAGGATCCCGGCGTAGATAGACACCAAAAAGAGAATTTGGAGAAGCTGGGTTATTCGGAACATGAGAGTGCACAGGTACAGACCGAGAGAAGGAAGAAGTAAGGTGTCCCCCGACAAACTAAGCCTATATCAGCAAAACTAGGGGCTGAATCTAATCAGTCCTAACTATAAGCTTTATCAAAAAGGAAGGTCTTAAGTGTACTCTTAAAAACGGATAGGGTGTCTGCCGCCTAAACTGGAAGCTGATTCCACAAATGTGGAGCTTGATAAGAAAAGGCTCTGGCTCCCATTGTACTTTTAGAGACTCTAGGAACCACCAACAACCATGTATTCTTGGAACGCAATGCCCTAGTAGTGTTTCTCAAACTTTTTCATACCAAGGACCACTTAACCAATAAATAAACACTCGTGGACCACCTAACTCCACAAATATCAAAAAACACATCGTTTTTCTAGAACAGATTACAAATCGCCTGAAAATGGTACAAACAAGTGGCAACATGTGTGATGAAGGTGTTGTGCTGGGCTATATCATGCAATCGAAAGTGAAACTTAACCTTGCTCCATTGCGGAGATATTCCCGCGAGAGTGCGGAACACTTAAATTGATTAATTAATTTCAAATGTGAAATGTTACCAATATACCCACTGACCACTAGGGGGCGCTCACGGACCACCAGTGGTCCGCGGACCACACTTTGAGAAGCACTGCCCTAGTAGGACAGTAGGGTATAATGAGTTATTTAAGGTAAGATGGCGCCTGCCCATTAAGGGCTTTGTAGGCGAGAAGAAGAATTTTAAATTCTATCCTATGTTCTATAGGGAGCCAGTGTAAGGCAGCCAGAACAGGAGTAATGTGGTCCCTTTTCCGAACTCTGGTTAGTACACGAGCTGCAGCATTTTCAATCAGCTGAAGCGACGTAACGGACTTCTTGGTACACCCTGATAATAAAGAGTTACAATAATCCAGCCTTGAAGTAACAAATGCATGGACTAGTTTCTCTGCATCGTTTTGAGGCAAGATATGCCTGATTTGTGCTGTTACGTAGATGGAAGTAGGCCGTCCTTGAAATTGATTTTATGTGGGCGTTAAAGGATAAATCCTGATCAAATATAACACCAAGATTCCTTACAGTCTCACTGGAGGCCAAATTAATGCCATCCATAGTTAGTATATCCTTAGATAATTTGTTTCGTATATTCTTTGGGCCGAGTACAATAACTTCAGTTTTGGCCGTGTTTAACATCAAAAAGTTTAAAGTCATCAACGTTTTTAAGTCCTTGAGGCAGTCTTGAATTTTATTTAGATGATTAATTTCATCAGGCTTGATTGATAAATATAGTTGAGTATCATCCGCATAACAATGAAAATGTACAGAATGATTCCTTATAATATTGCCTAAGGGAAGCATATATATAATGTGAACAAAATAGGTCCAAGCACTGAGCCCTGTGGCACTCCATGGCTAACTTTGGTTTGCATGGAAGATTCATCGTTGACACATACAAACTGAGAGCGTTCAGATAGATAGGACCTAAACCAGTCTAAAGCAGTTCCCTTTATGCCAACTAAGTGCTCTAGTCTTTGCAATAGGATATCATGGTCGATAGTATCAAATGCAGCACTGAGATCGAGCAAGACAAGAATAGAGACATGTCCTTTGTCTGAGGCTATTATGGCGCATTTCCACTGCAGGCCTCGCTCGGCCTCGCTCGGTTTGGTTAGGCCTCATTAGGCCCGGCTCACTTTAATGCTGCGCTTCCATTACAGTTTAGGAACTGGGCTAGTCACTATAGTAACGCAGTGTAGGCGGAGCCGTGACGTCATCTTTAATGAGAGCCCCAGAAAAACAACACAGCCGTTAGCTCTTAGCACTCAGAGCTCACAGCTCTTCATATCTGTTCAGAAACTAGACAAAAGTTAAACAAGTACAAACCACAGACTGCCTGTGTCATGGCGAATACAGTCGCCGGTTTATTTATGTCTGTATAGGCCGTTGTTGTGAGTGTGGACGGTCGGAGCATATATAACGTTAGCTTAGCCAGGCTCCATTTAGAAAACACGCATTTTAAAAAGGGTTTTCAGCCTGCCGTCTGTCTGCAGACTTGTCAAAACATTAATTCATGGTTTTTACTAACCGGTATCAGTATGTTGTTACTTCGGCATCATTTTTAAACGTGTATTACAATTAAATCACGGTCAAATATGTTCATCTTGTTGTAGTTGTAGCCCCCTTGCCAGCGATTCTCTCTCTAGTTTAGCATACTCAGCCCGACTCAGCCTGGTTGTTCCTGGCCCTAGAACCACGATTTTATGGGGCCAAAAAAACTGTGAATTAGGACCCACTAGCCGGTACTAGGCCAAGTGGAAACGCAACCAAAAACGGGCCCCGCACGGCTCGGCACGCTTAAAGCGAGCTACCCGCTGCAGTGGAAACGCGCCATTAGAAGGTCATTTGTGACTTTAACCAGAGCTGTCTCTGTGCTATGATGTGTTCTAAAGCCAGACTGAAAATCTTCAAATAAATCATTGTTTTTTAAGTAATCACACAACTGTTTTGCGACCGCTTTCTCGAGAATTTTAAGAGGAACAGAAGATTAGAAATAGGTCTATAGTGTGCTAGAACCTCTGGATCGAGGTTGTGCTTTTTAAGAAGAGGTTTTATCACTGCTACTTTGAAAGATTGTGGAACATAGCCTGATAATAAAGACATATTCATAATATTTAATAAAGAAGTGCTAATTAATGGAAAAACTTCCTTTAACAGCTTAGTTGGAATTGGGTCTAAGATACACGTCGATGGTTTAGAGGAGAGAATCATTGAATTTAATTGTTCAAGGTTTCAAGGTTCTATAGTTCTTCGAATCTTTAATCTTCTTAAGTTTTGGTACATTTTCAGGCCGTTTTCGATTTTATAATGGTTGTCTATGGGAGGGACTCTTCAGGGCTAGAGTGCGTGACATAATCACTTAGAGTGTAGAGCAGGGGTGGGCAAACTTTTTGGGCAAAACTGCTCTCAGAGCCAAAATATACACTCTATTCAAATAATTTCAAAAGATTTCAGGAGCATAATTAGTCTAGCCTGCTCAATTGCCTTCATCATATCAAACGGACCCACCGTTCTGGGCCAATAGTGATCTGAGTGACAAAAAGTCCGCCTAGCTTCAAATAGACTCCCATGTTATATTTTTCCCAATCTTTCTTCAGAATAGAGAGATGTAAACTTTAGACAAACTGCTCACATCTCCACATTCTACACACAAAACCTAAAAAACTAACATATATCAGTTCATTGGGGTTCCCTGATGCTCACGGTCTGGTATTTTTTATTTTTTTTTTTTTTAAATAGGAGCCATAGTTTTTGAACAGGTGGCAAAATTGTCAGATATAATCCTCAATGCATTCTTAATGGGACTCAGTGCTGCAGTTGGTTTCCATGGTGTTGCTGGGCAGATTGGGGCCACACACCTGAGTGACATCATCTAATCACAGAAGACATGCCCACAGAGAGACTGGTACACGCACACACAAACACCAGAGGTTTGTATTATTTTTTTTTCAACAAAAGTTAGAAATGCAAGAGGTTTATCTCTCATTCAGAACAATTGGAAAGGCTCCCCTTTCAAAGCATATCACCATGGAAACCTTTGATCTCTGGGCTCACGTACACAGGCTTTGATAACGTTGTCACTGTAGTAACCTCTGATCTCTGGGTTTACACACACAGGTGTTTGTAAACATTTATTCACTACTACTTACATTTAATATCTAACTCCTTCAGCCTATTTTCAACTGCAGAAACCATTAAACTATTAACTTATTCAGCTATTTCAGGACAATCAGGCTATACATGTTGTTGGTTATACCTTTTTTAAACCTTTACTTTTAAAT